CTTGTGTTAAAGAGAGGGAATCTATTTGATGAGAACTGTGACGGAGTTCAATATTTCGGTAATTGTTGTGTGTTTCCTCGTGGTGTTCTGCTCAGGATGCATGACAGATCAGCCGGTGTTTTTCACTTAGCGATTTTAGCTTTACTTAAGACTCGACAAACTTTGATTGTTTTTCCCTAGTGCCCGACAAGGTTACCGGCTGGTAAGTCAAAAACGACTTCTATGTAAATTTTATTAAGGAAAAATCCCTAAACTTCTAGCTACTCGGAATTAAATTTACTTCTCTTACTGTTTTTAATCGGCTTTCATCGTTTCAATGCGATTGAATTTTCAGAGCCGGGCTCTTCCTAATTTGCATAATCCGTAATCGGTCCGTGGGCATTACGGCTGCATAATGACCGTTCAGATTTCGCTCTTAGCCAATCAGAGCGCGCGTTATATCGGCCACAAGCCAAAGCCATATAATAAAGATAGTTAACAAATGCAAGGAAAATTAGCGATGTTATAGCTATTTCGGGATTATTCTACACCATCTTCGGACTCCTGTCTTCTACCTGAAGATGGCATAGAATAATACCGAGATATATTATTGCTGATCTTCCTTGCATCTGTTGTCTTTATATTAGTCATGATGCAGCCACTCACAGTGGTGGATCCAGACCTTGAGCTAAGGGGGCGGAAGGGGGGGGGGAAGGCGGTTTTGTTTTTCTTGCCCTGCCGGTTTTATTCCTTCTGTGATTTTTTCTTTTTTTACCCAAAATAAAGGGGGGCCCCGGGCCCCTCCCCTAGATCCGCCACTGACTCAGATTAACCTTTATCATTTATGTGCAAACGTTAAAATGAGGCTTGAAACTACAGTTAAAATTGAGGGCTCAATTTTAACTGTAGTTTCAGGCGTCGTCTGAACTTTTGTACTGTTAATGGACGTTTGTTTAGCTTTAATCCTCAACGGATGCTGCCTGGCTTGTGCTACGCAAACAAAACATAGGTAACTGTGAGTGAAAACAACTGAAATCTATAGCATTGAGTGGTTTGTAATTGTGGTACATATAATTTGCCACCTGTCGCTGTACTGATAGGAATCAAACGAGTTGAGGTAGATTTAGTCTGCACATCGTTGCTTATTGTTAATCAGTTCTTAGCTTGAATAATAAATGTATCTTACTTGA